CCTTCTACTTCTGTCTGCACTGGTACCTATTCTGGGGGTCCATTAGTGCTCTTACTGTAAGTGCCGTACGCGCTTATTGTCTATAAACATACTTTCCTCAGTCTCCTCCTATCTCACTGTCGTGAGTTTCCTCTCCTTTTTCTGAACTGAGTGGGTAGGAGGATTTTGCTTAGACACTGCTGAAGGTGGCAAGAGGTTTAGTTTGAACTGCTCTCATGGCCATCTCCATCCTCAGAGGCTCTGTTCACTGGTAACATCAGCCCAGGCTTTTCTCTTTCTGTGCCCTCATGATATTTTGAATGCAGCAGGACATTGCTGAGTCATTTGAGTGAACAAAACAAATGCTGATGGATGGGAGTACTCTTGCACATATGTGCAACTGTATTTTTGGAATGCTGCTGTGGTCAAGGCAGAAGAATGACCCTTTGCATCACTCCCATTGGCCCTGTGCAAAGCTGCCTGAAACTGATGGGGGGGATGTGTCCTCAAGCTTTTCAATTCTAAAAATAGTTAAGATACTCATATTGTCTCTTTCCATGTTGCTGTAATAAGTTTTGTCTCCCTTCTTAGATGCTTTAAATTCCTGCATGATGTTCAAAAGGAAAAATCCTTAGTCCAGGTGTTTGAATAGTACTTGGAAAAAATCTTCCTTGGCATTTCAATAATTCTGTTTTGCAACCAGTGTTGGCCTGGGAAAGCAGGGATTATCACGGGCAATTCAAGTGTGACAAGATGAACTGAATCTTATTATCAGAAAAAAACCCTAAACCTAAATTACAAGGGAATCAATAAATGTTGGTGATTTAAAAATCCAGTAGATGCAGCTTCAGAGGTCTGGTTGTAAAAGCAAAAGCTGAGCTGAGAGTTTCAGATGGGTAAGAAGTGCTAACTGTGTAAGGCAAACATTGCTGCTAAACAGAACCAGTGTATGACCGTTGTGGTGCCAGGAGCACCATTTGGTTTAGGTACCATGATTGATCTGTAATTCTCTGATGAAATCTTTGCTTTTCATTGTGTTGTTTTAATTTTTTTCTTAAGATATGCTTATATGTTAATAGCACAACCAGGTGTATTGTGAAATACATTCTACTGCGTATGTAAGTTACACCTCATTAAAAAAACATCTTGCTTATGAAGTGGCTGCTATGAAGATTTAATTCTGGAGGGACAAACTTTAGAAATACCTATAAAATAGTAAAACCTTTCTGGGTTTTATCAGCCACTCTATTGAAATTAATTTTATAGAATATAAAATTAGGTGCTGTTTGTTTAACTACTTGAACTATAGGGGTTACATGCCAGATAAAGAAAAGTGTTTTGAATATAAAATAGTTCAAAATTAAGTCATTTTAAAATGAGAATGAATAGTGTGAGAAAAGCTCAGTCTCCTTCAGCTCTGATTAGTGGCTGTGTGATACTTAAAGGGAAAGACTTGAATATTAATATGGTTGATGTGTCCTATCTTAAATCTATTCTATAAAAATTAGAGCATAAATTCTTTCATTTCATCACATATTCTGTTTCATTGTGGGGCTTTTCTTGTCATTTTTTGGTTTTGTTTTGAGGGTTGTGTGTTTTAGTGTAGGGTTTTTTTTTTCTTTTTTTTTTTTAACTTCAGCGTTAGCAGTGTTGTGATTTAAACTATACTTCATATTCAGAATGAAATTAGAGGACCTTATGTGGATGTTGATTGCAATTTTGCTGATTTTCGTTCAGGACCATGCAGTCTGCAGACACTATAGCCTCCTTTTCCTATCAACAAGCAGAAGTAATACTGAATTCTCAATGAAAGACTGGAGGGAAGAGACAGAATGGAAGAGAACAGAAAGTAAAATGGCAGGTAGGTGAAGAGAACAGTGAAATGCAGCTGAATTTCTGTGCATTTATGCAGCACAAACTGGGACTTACGCAGCAACGTGACAAAAATGTCAATTATGACCACATCACTGCAATGTAACTAAAAGGAAAGGCCTGTTTGGCTCCTATGTTTGTTGATATATAAGCTGAATTTAGGTAATGTTATAATTGCAAATATATTACAATGACAAAAAGAAAAAATCTATGTATGCTTTCAGACCTATCTCACTGTCCACATCTCACTTGACAATTGAAAGCAGTTAGAACAGACCATGCAATTTTTAGAGTTTTATAATATTAAATTCTTAGTAGGTTTTTTGGGTGTATATTCATATCAGTTAATGATGAAATATGCATAAAATATATCTTAGTGACCTTATTTTAAAATATTGCTTTGGATCTGTTCATTTTTTTCTCTCCCAGCCCCCTCCCCCCATATTAATATTGATTACAGGTTCTGGGACTTTTTCTCTATTCTGTTTTATTTTCTTCTCTATATATTCATTGTATTAAATCAGTAAGAACCATCCTTTTTGCCATCTTTGTGTCTAGAGGCTTGGCATAAGAGGACATGATGGCAGAATTCTTTCTTGCTTGCCCCCACCAACTTCTATCACTCCTCCCTCCCCCCCCCCCCCCCCCCCGGTTTATTTTAGAAAATTATTACAATGTTGACTTCCTGAAATACACTAAACATATTAAAAAAAAAAAAAATTAAGCTCTAAGAATTGCATGGTGTCTAGGTGATCCTCATTGTACTGCAGTATGATGATAGCAATCGACTGTAGTTAATATTCCTCATTTTATTACTTACACTATTAACGTATCAGATTCAGTTCTGATAAACTCAACTTTCCTTGTTTCCTAAATGTATTTCACTTTCTTAAATTAGTTGAAAATAAATATGACAGTTACAGATGAGATAAAATCTGACACTGGCATTCTTGAAAAACCACATTATAGTCTTCCAGAAGCCTTAGTTCATGATTATGTTGAACACCATGTTGACCACATTTCTAACTTCTCAGAGACAACATTCAAGTTAGAAATTTTGAGGAGCATTATGTAATAGGTTTTCTGAACAACCCTTTCTTTAAATTTTCTCCACACAGAAATCCATTTAAAATTGTAACCTTCCTTCTACAAATTGAGCCATATGAAACTGTAGTTGATCATAATATTGCTTCATTATTGATAAATTTATTTTCTCTGAGGAGACAAAATATGTTGGGTTTTTTTTTGCAGGTGAAGTATATTCATCTGCTAGAAGCTGCAAAATGGGTCAGCCCAACTGGAAAGAAGTAATGTACTGCTTTTTATCTTAAATTCCTTTTAATTATTAGGTTAAAAAAATGAAGTAACAGACATCGACCTTGAGCATACAGTGGCCAGTTAAAACCTATTTAAGAAACAACCCCCCACTCCCCAAAACCTCGTAATATAATCCAATTGCTTCATTCCCCCTTGGAAAGTCAAGGGCCTTGCTGTGTGACGTATTTCATAATCCATCAAGCCACTGCTTTGTCTTCAGTGTCCTGCTTTGGCTGTACTATGTTATTAATAGGAAAATAAAAGAAATATTTTATTGGATTACATTAATCTGTTGAAAGAAATTCTTCCTACCTGGTTAATGGATACCTACTTGGGTCCTCTCTTGAAAGATACTCTTGATAATCTGGGCCAAAAAGAACAGTCCCACTGAAGTTCATGGCTCCTATGGTATCCTGTGACATTCAGCTCTTTAAACTAGATTTTTGTAATAAAAGCAAGTGTTTCTTTTCAGGAGGCTAAAAATTCATTACTACATTAAAAAAAAAAAAAAGCTTTTTGTGTGTGTGGTGAGAAAAAATAGCCACTCGGAATTACTCTTTACTGTGTCTATTTGTTGATTTATTTACATTATTTTTACATAAGGAAACCCTAACTTAAGAGGCTCCTTATGAGCTGTGAGGTCTTGGGTAGAAAGAGGTAAAGCTGTAATGTCCTGTGTTCTGTGCAGTTTGCTTTTTGCCATTCTATATGCCTTCTGGTCAGGGCAGGTCAGTTTTCTAATTGTAGGGTGAGAAGTCATGAATGCAGCATAAGACATAAGGAGTGGGAATAAAGAAGTCAAAACCTGTTAGTATGCCTTTCTAAATCAGTGATTTCAAATTGGATTTGAAATGCTCAGTACATTATTTTATCAACTGGTCTCACACAAAAGTGTCGGAGAGAATACAGAAAAATCTGAGCATGAAAACATTTTTAGAAGGATAAATCAAAAAAGGCTGAAATTTCTTGTCTTCAAGAAAATGATTTTGATAGTTTTTGTAAGCCTTTTTTTTTCATAATAACAAAATACTTAATAAAACAGTAAGGTCATAAACAGAAAATACTTGAAAAAGTTCTTCCAGAGGGCTGCTGTGGTGTAGTATTGAAAAGAAATCAAATGAATAAAATGTGATGTAGTGGGGGATAGTTAACAGCTTTTCAACTTTTGAAGAGGGAAACATAGTTCTAATTTACTCTGAATTTCAGACTATTTTTTTGTCAAGTTCTTTATCAAATGGTCTTAAGAAAAAAGCAGAAAGTGTACCTAGATGACTTTATATACAAGGCTGAACAGAATGAAACTTTAAAGCATAGAAGAAGTACATATGTGGGAAGTGTTGTGGTAGAGGTGAATACAAAGATGATTGCTGCAGAGGGGATAAGTAGGGACTAGCTCTTCATCATCTTCCAAAGAACCAGGGGAATCTAGTGTAATTATGAGCCAGTAGGCTTAGATGGGGGAAGGAGAAGGGAGGAAACTTAAGTATTTTTGTTTTTCCCCTCAACTACAGAATTTAACTTGTGAAAGGCATCTCTACCAATTTCAGAAGGTCAAAAGTGCAAACTTATTTAAATAGAGACTCGGAAATCAACAACTGGCTAATGAGTAGCTCTCAGTGACAACGGTGTGGACGCAACCTGTGACTTGGGAGATATTATCATCATGTATTAACGGTGGGTATTTTGCACATTCTTCGATGCTAGCAGCTATTGAGATGGGCTACACATTAGATGCACTAATGTTCTGATCTGTGGTTGCATTTTCTCAATTTCTGATTTGTATATGGCTGTATCTACAGAAATCCTCACTTCAATCTGCTTTGCAGAGCTTAAGAAAAATCAAAATATCACTTGCTGTATCCCCAACAAGATACTCTGCATAAATTATAGGTTGATGTGTGGTTCATTGATACCTGTTTTCTACTTGATAAAGGTGCATTGCAACACCAAGACCAAAAGTTGGGTGGGTATAATAATATTAACAATCGTTCTTGCTCTGAAAAATACTTTAGGGTGATGAGGAGGAATGTTTTGGAAAGTTAGCTTTCTGTATCTTAAAGGGCACTTACATTAAAGTTTCTAGTGGTGATTACACTCCCATTACATTCTGCCTGACTAGTGTTGATTGCATTATTAAGTGATGATTGAACTTCTGGAATTGTTATAATGTATGTACTGTTGGTGCATGACGTGGTGGAAAGCAGTGTCCTTCTACCTCCCAGTTCAGGACTGAGCAAATAAATGCACTGTGCAGTTTTGAGTGAATACTTGCATTCTGTTCATGAATCTATGTCTCTGCAATTTATTTAAAGATAAACAACTCCGGTTGCTTCCAACACTTCGCCTCTTCTCTTCAAAATTATTTGGCAAAAGAATGCTTTCTCTTCTCTGGCAAGTGGTGCTCACCAACCTATACAACCTGTCATTTTCTGAGAGCCCAGCTGGGGAGCAGATAGGATGGAAGCCTGTCATTTAGGGGCCTCCTGGACATTTGGGCTACAAATGAAAGAAAGGTCCAGTTTCTTCACATTGTATTTTATTTTAAACTAACAATTTGTTGCCTTATTTAAATAAAATACTTATTAAATTATTTTAAAATGTATTTATTTAAATGTAAAATGTAAAAATGTTACTAAGGCAGTTCATACATAGATTCAAGTACAACAGTCTGAAAAAGTACATGTTATAAAGCGAAAGTATTATCTAGTGTAGAAACAGTAAATAAAAAATAATTCTTTGCATATGGATCTGACCCTTCAGTAAAATATACCCTATTGTAAAATGTTGTTGAATTTATACTTTTGAAGAATCTAAAAGCTTAAGGAGTCACCTTTTGGGTACACATAGCAAATAATACAGTTGTCTGCCACATATTACTTCAGTTTGGCAGCAAAGCCAAAGATTATGGGCTTGTCTACTTGTATCAGCAGAACACTAAGGCTAACACTGAATTTTAAGCCCATTCTTATATTTCATTGGCTTCTGAACTGAAAGTTTCACTTGAAACATATGCCTGTGTGGTTTGCTGAGTAGTGGTGAACCCAAGGATGCTTGAATGCTTTTGTGCTTTTAGGCCTAAATTGAGAAGTGTATCTGGAATGTAGGATGTTTCAAGCAGAGTCAAATATGTTGCTGGTTTGACAGATCTGAAATTCAACTTGTTTTTTAGCATAGCAGTGTGGTTTTGTTGGGGCGGTCTACTTTGACTTATAGAGTTTTATGCTTGCGTAAAGACTCTCTTTTATGCTTCTCCTTTTAAAAAGAAAAGCAAACAGATTTAAAGAAAACCCACACCCCAAAACTGAAAAAAGAAAGAACAGCTCTTGCATAACTCTTAATGGAAGCGCTGTGCTTTGTTCCAAGGTTTAAAAGGAAGATTGAAACAAAAGAAAGACCAGTTAATAGAATGTAGGATGTTTAGGTAAGATGAAGTCAATTTTCATCTATGATGAAAATACGCACTGTCTAGCAAGCATAGTCTGAAGAAGACATAATAACTAATAACTTATCTGCACCTGGGTTATTAGGATAAATCTGCAGATAGATACGTGTATAATGGAAGCTTCAAAAGCTGCAAATATGATGTGATAAATGATTCAAAGTACAACACATTAGCTTAGATTTTAATGTTTCTAGAATGAATGAAACAATACATCTATATGCCACAGCCATATTATCATAAATGTATTTGCCAAAATATAAGACGTAAATTGTACTTAAATTTAGTAACTTGTGATGGTATGCTTGAATGTATCTTTGTGATTAAATGTGAGCAATTGGTCCTTTAAGGTAAAGGTCTGTGTATGTCTGATTAATCAGATTGAAATGACAGGGCGGACAGCTCATGCCATGCCTAGTTATCAGAATGATTGATTTTAGTCGATGCTGCTGGATGAAAAAATATCTGTTAATAACTACAGCTGCAAAACTCCTGATGTCACTGATAGCACAAATCACTTCTCACGTTCTGTATTATCTGGCTCATTTGCAGATACGGAGCATACAAACTGATCCATTGGAATGCAAAATTATAACATACAGATTTATGCAAGAGGGATGACTGCAAAGTGCGTTGCGTGAGTAGTGTAAGAAGCTGAAAATTGCTGCTGTTGTAGCTGTCATAGACATGTTATTCTTTGGTATGTGTGGAGTTTTTGCTGTCAGGCTTTTATCCTGTAGATTGTTTGTGCTGTACTTCTCTTCCTGCTAAAAATAGAAAATCAGTCACTGAACCTGGATGCTATTAAGTATTCTTAGAATAGTTCTTAACTAACTTGGTTGATTTGCTCTTTCTGATGAGAGAACATTTAGTTGTTTACTACAGGCTCTGGACAAACATGTTGTTCCAAAATCAACAAATGAGATTATAAATTGCATTGCATCAACAGAATTGTTTACTGTAGGTATATTCCTTGCCATATAATATTTATCTGTTTAGGTGGTATATCTTTATTTTGAGAGATCTGGAGCTTATCTTCATCAAACATTGTGTCTTATCTGCATTTTGCAGTTATTAACAGGGAATGTGGGTGTCTTATGGACCTCAGAGGAGGAGGGGGACAACAAATAATCTTACGTGTTTGGTAGGATGTGCTTTTCTTGCATTCTGTCTGTTTACTACTGTGTGTAAGAGTCTGCCCTTCCCATTTGTATGGCTTTCTTTTCTCCCCCTTCCCATTTGTTCAAGGTGCTTAGCACCCAAAGGTAGAATAAGCCATTTTTTTATTATTATTAATTTTTTTCCTAGCCTCTCATATCCATAAATGGCAGAATAAACACAGGTCTGAGAGAAGTGCAAATCCTTTTACATCAGTGTTAACTGGTTCTTCCCCTTCCCCACTAATTCACCCTTTGTTGTTCTAAATCCAGCCTCTTACCCGGCCTTTCTCTCCTAGCCTTTTATCTGCCATTCCCCACTGGCCTAAACCAACATATTTCATATACCTCCAAACACAAAAATGCAGGTTCTTATAGTCCCCTGCCACTGCAAAATTCACAAATGCATCCATTTTCAGGAAGCACATACAGTGGTGATCTGAAATGCTGGGGTTCTTGCTTTCTTGGAATGATAAAATTGCCCTTTCCTCTTTCAAGCTTCTCCCTTCTGCTTTGTAGGCAAGTTCTTCAACTCAAAAATGTTTATCTAAAGAACCCCAGACTTGTTGAATACATATGTTAGTTCTTCATGCTGCTGTTTAGTTATGGCTGGTATTCTGCAGAAGACCCTAGTGTGGTCACAATGTGGTCACATAAGTCTCAACATCTTATGGATATAAATGATAAGGAAAAAAACATTAACTTACAAGAAAGCAGAAATGATTCTTGCTTAGTAGGTTATTAAAGCATTACTGTCATTATTATTTGTTCTTATTTCTCCAGAGGACCTCGGACTTGATTATGATTCCATTGTGGTAAGCGCCTCTATCAATCACAGGGAGATCAAGTCCTTGCCTAAAGATGTGCATATAAAGATACCCCATACAGCAGCATGCCCTGAAGGAGCTTAATGGTAATTTCATAGGTGCTAAATATATTGAGTTCAGGTAGACTGGTATGTTTCTGAAGTCTGATGTATTTCAAGATTAAAACTTCTATTTACTTATTTTACTTATTCCTGTTATTCTTCCAGGAATAGCTGTGATGTAGAAACGAGAGACTTGCCTGTCTTTCAGAGCTGCAACCTTCTGAACTTCAGATATTGCCCTTCTATATGTTGAGAAGGCATGTGTGAGAATTCTGTGTTAGATGCCTTCATACAAGAAATGGAAAACTGGGGATGAATCCTTGCCACTACTTTACTTTACTTAGGAATTTACAGATGAATCATCCCTTACTCTAAAAGTAATGACATAGTTAGATAATAAACTTTTGCTATTCAGAATGGACCCAGTTACCCTCTAAATGGGTAATTAGTTTGAAATGCTGCTGGCCACAGATACCTACAATTTACATTCCCTTGCTTTCCTTTCTTACAAATAATGAACATTTCACTAAACTGCAAACACGCTTTTGTCTTCTGTTCAAGCAAAAGAATAAGAGCTGAATTTAAGCATGCTCGTGTGTGAGGGGTGCTCCTGAGTTCAGCGTTTGATTTGTTTGCAGTGAGAACTAAGAAGATATGTTTAAAATACTGCTGGTTGTACTTATGTGTGAGAAGAATCCCAGCCATGAAAGAATCTGAAGGAGGAGGAGACAGGAGTTTTTTGCTTCACTCTTTTACTAACATCAGTAAGCTATTGATTTGGCCATAAGATTGAGTGAAGATGCACCACCTAAGGAATTTTAGATAGAAGGTCACAGTTTAACACTCAGTGCGGGGCATACTTATGCATCTGTTCCATTTCACAGGGCATCCGCTCCATTTCCAGGCAGAGCTGCAGGACTCTTCATGTATAAATAAATAACCTGGTGTAAGACAGATTATGTTCCTCGGATATCAATCACTGGTAAATATTGTGTTTCTACTCATGAAGTAAGAATAGTAAATGGAAACTCATGAAGATTTCAGGTTGCCATTATATTTACAGTCCTGGGCTCACTGCTGAGAATTATTGGATGTCTTTGCCTCTGAATATGGGCTGAAAGCTTCAGTGGGATACTCATTCCTTGCTTGCCTCTCAGACTTTCAAATCAACATTAATCTTGGTTCTTATAACCCTACTTCTGAATCACTGTAAATAATGCAAAAAGCTGCCAGATCTTTGCCAGTTAGGCTCAGTAAGAAACAAACCCCCAAACACAACCTTTCCTGATTCTTTATCTGGCAAATGGTTTGGGCCAAAGTGAGTATTGTGTGAGTATTGTGTGATTACAGGGACTGATTGCACTGGGGGAAAAAGGGAGAAAATATGACAAGAAAAGCTTTGGAGTGCCTTCTAGTAGATGCATGATGGAAGGACAATCGTTTCATTCCCCTTCCTTCTAGCTGGCCATTACCTCTTTTTCTGTCAGCAGTCAGACATCCCCTATTTTCAGCCGCAAGTAACACATCCCTGTATGTGCTGATATCAAGAGACAAGGTTGGTTCAACCCGGGATTATTGACATCTTTCTGTGGCAGTGACTCCAGTTTCTTCACAGTCTGTTTGTGTGCTTCCCTCACCAGCCCCTCTTTTCCACTGACTGAAACAGAGGTGAGAGATTGTTTACAACATTCAGGAACTCTGTATTGGAGACTGTTGGTATTTTGAAAGAAACCGCAGTTGGGTGTTCTGAGCCTAAACTCTGATATTTTCCAATATAGATACAGCTGCTGTTTCATTGCTTATGAATTTTGGCATATTAAAAAAAAATTCCAGTCATGTTTCAATCTTTTTTCTTATTATATTCCATTCTGTTTATTTTTAGAGGAGAAAAATATAGTCGGAATATATACATTCTTTGTTTTTCCTTGTTCAGTGTATCAACAGCTTAGACTGTGATCGTTTTTAATAAACGGTCAGAATAAGGAGGAACTCAAAGCTTGCTAAGTACTTGTTTATTTTTAATCATTGTGGTAATAGGGACGCATTTAGGTAGATAGGTGTGGATATTTGTTAACCTTTTCCTTCTTGACATAACTGCTCTTATTTTAGGGTTAGATCTTTTTGTTCTGTAGCATCCTCATTTAATAATGAAAAGACGCTCACAAACAAAAGTAGCCCAGCCATGGAATGGTATCAGCAGAGCCAAAACCATCTCAGCCAAAATGGCAGCCAAGGGGTATGCAGCACTTCATTAATCTGGTTTGGTCCAGGTACCCTGGAAGTAGGCCTAAGGAAAATCATTGCAACTTGGCATAGCTAGCTTTATCCTTCATGAGCTTTAATGTGGAACAGATGTATGTTAAGGGATGATTATTTTCGACTTGAGTACAAGGAATATGATATTTTTTAAGTCCTCCTTTTAATTCCATTTTGACTTACAGCCACCAAAAATTTGATTTCAGTTTGTCTCTTCCTGACAAGAATTTGTGTTTTCTGCAGTAATGTTCTACTCCATACAGCATCACAGTTAGCACACCACGGGCTTCATGATGGTAGGCCTCCTGAATATTCTGACAAGATTGCTTCAGGTGACACTATTAGTTCCTATTACAGAGTAAATTTCCAGATAAGGAGAGATTTGTCTTACCACAAAAATGTACAACATTTTCAAATGTAGAAATTGGAAGCTTATTTTTGCTACTTGTATGAAACAGTCACCTAGGAGAAAGCCATTTATGAACTGAGAAAGGGAGGTAGAGACTTTTTAGAGGTATTTTCAGCCAATTTTGATTCTCTTTAATTATCTTAGGTATTCTCAAGCATTTTTTTTCCAGTGGATTCATATTTCAGCCAGTATTTCTGACAATCTATTTTATGCTTCATTGACCACTAGGTTTGAAATTCTAGCCCATATTGGCACAGTAGTGCCAAGTTTGTAGTGATAAATGGATAACTTTTTTATTTTAAATAGGTATCTGTTATTTAATTTGTGGTCTCTAATTTTTTTTTTTTTTTCAGTTCATTAGTTCTGCTATTTTTCTGTCTAGGAAAAAGTGATCAAAAGAGACAGAGGGATCAAGGTGGAATATTGCTTTAGACTTGTTCATACAAAATAAAATCAGAAGAAATGGATTCTCCAAGGAAGTGTAAATGTAATCATATCATGTGTTCATTTTTCTCTAACAATGAATTTGCTGAATTTATTTATTTTTTTTTTATACTGAGAAATGAAAGATCATATTTTTCATGCTGATAGTTTTTTCTCTACCAAGATTGCTACTCTTCAGAACCTATTTAAAATGTGCAACCCGTAATTCATAATTGGGTAGTATGCTTGCTAATGCCATTTTCATAAATTTCTTGAATTTCAACAGAATGTTAGTTTTGCTAAATTATAACCTCCTCTACTAAAAGCGGTAACACCTCCTATCATTGTTTAAATGTGCTGTACTATGCAATTATAAAGAGGAGGAAGCTGAAGAGGAGATTAAACACTGAGGAAATGCTTCTATTTTAGTATATTCTCTGTTGTTCTTTATCCATTTTACAGTAAACCGCATTTTCTCATAAACAGGCCTTGAATCCAAAGAGTTAGTCAGACTTCTACAGAAGTTTACTTTTTATATTGCTCATGTAAGGTTTTCCTGTTCTTGGTTTTTAAAATCTTACAGAACCTTTTTTTTTTTTTTTTTTTTTTCATTTTCCTCACCCTAAACCTCTCCTCATATCCTCATTTCAAAACTGAAATATTTGAATAAATTCTAACAAACAAGCAAACAGAATCTTCTTACACTTTCCTGCAAAAAAAAAAGTCTTTCAGGCAGCAACTGAGTAACATCAATTCACTGTGTAAAATCTGTCTGGCTGATCAGTAGATACTTCAGGTGTATACTAAATCTTAGATAAGGAAATCTATATAGTCTATGCATACAAAGTGATGTCACTTCCTTGAATAGGAGTTTGAAGTCTTCCAAGGACAATTTTTAAAGAAAAAAAAATTAAAAAATGATGAGAAACTTGTTAGCTGACTGTCTTGTCATGTGGCTGCTTTAGCTACTATAGCCTGGATTTTTAAAATCTTCATATTACTGTAATTATATTTTATACCTAAATTATGATTCATATTATTATCTTTCTTCAGATTTTTTTGAAATATTCTTATGTTTTCCTATGCTGTAATAGCTGTGAGAGACTGCCTTCTATATAGGCTGCAATTAAATAAAGAGGACAGAATGAGATTACAGTATGTCAAGAGGACAAAGAAGGGAATTGCCTACCTGAGGCCAATGAATAGCTTGAGAACGCCGAACAGTATTATGTTATATCTAAAGGCAATGCAGAAAATTAGCCAATCCTTAAAGTAGCAATAAAGCGCTTTCTTCTGAAACTGATAAGTGACATTTTAAAGGCATAATGTGATGAGGAATAGGATTAATTTTGCTTTCTCTTATTTACTTGGGTCTGTGACTTGTATGCACTTGTGTGTCACATTCCCCTGTGTATATTTTGTGTTGTAAACTATTCAAGTTTTTGTGTGTATCAAGCCTACTTGTGTTTATTTTCACAAGGAAAAGCCATTTGGCTTGTGTTTTATTTTCAATTTTTCCAGGAGCCCATGGTAGTGAGTCACAGAATCATAGAATATCCTGAGTTGGAAGGGACTCAAGGATCATAGAGTCCAACTCCTCACACCTAAAACCTAAAAGTTAAAGTTTAACCATATATACATATTTAGATATAAAATATACTCTTTTATACATAAGAATATTTTAAATATAAGAATATTGTCCAAACACTTCTTGAACACTGATAGACCGGGGGCCATGACCACTTTCCTGGGGAGGTTGTTCAAGTGCTTGACCACCCTTTTAGTAAATAACATTTTCCTAATCAATCATAGAATCCCAGTTTGGAAGGGATCTCAAGGATCATGGTAGAAGCATGATCTAGATAAGATGTCACAGCATACTGTCCAGCTGAATCTTAGAAGTGTTAAGTACTGAGAATCCACCACTTACCAGGGGAGATTATTTCAGTGGGTGATTGTTCTTATTGTGAAAAACTTTCCTCTTGTGTCCAGTCTGAATCTCTCCAAGACTAAGTTTACCCCTTGTCTTTTCTGTGTGACTCCTTTAAAAAAAGTGCTCTTATTTTTTGGTTATATTTAAGATTCTTTTCACAGTGGTTTAAAAAATCTGATTATTTTTAGAAATGCTAAATTGTTACATATTGTAGTACAAACACATCTTTTGGTTAAGGAAAGATGAAATGTTTCAACTGGCACGTATTTATGCGCATATGTGCTTGTGTATACAATATGTATATATACGCATATTCATGTGTGCATGTATACAATATATGTATGCATTTAATATATAGCATGTATATATACATTCATATATGTAAAATGCAGCTTTATGCATATACTTACATAATGAATAAATTGTAATACTGTCATAATGACCTGTGATAATAAAAATATGCAAAAATTTGATTGAAGATTCCAGAATGCCCAGGTGAATTTTTGTCTGTAAAATTCTGGTGGGAAAGCTACCATTTTACTATTTTCTTTATTGTTACAATTTCAGTAAGGCAGTTTTCCATTAAAAGGAAAAGTAAGTGAAAAATAAAAGTAATTTAACACAAAACCTTCTCTTCAGGATTTTTTGATAGGGTTTACTGTTGGATTTCAGCAAGCCTGTGCATTTTAGGAGATGTTGGTTTGTATTGCGAGGTGGGCTCATTGTGCTTTCTAACGTAAGCTCTTGAAATCATAAAATACTTCTAATACTGTTTAGACTTATCATTATCCCACTCCTACTTTTGACTGAATTTGGCCAACAAATTAAAAATCCACTACACCTAGATAAAAAGTGTGATCTCAATAAGCCTAATTTCTTCAGAAATCAGGCCAAAGCAGTGTTAAAAGAAGACAAAAAGATAAAGTGCTCATAAATAAGGAAATGCAGAAATGTATTTAGTAATCAAATCAGTGGTTTTTAAAGAGAACTAAGGATTTTTCTTGGGCTGGGAGCAGGGATTGATTACTGGCTGATCTCATCTCTAATTTGTCAGTCTTAATTTATTTTGATACCTGTGATTTTGTAACATAAGCAATGACACTTTGAGACAAAATTCTCCTCCTCTTCCTCTTTTTCTTGCAGATGTTGTTTAAAGTGTGTTGAAAGAAAGGAGTTGGAAGGAAGGGAGATTGGCCAAATTTGTATCTGTTGTAAGAAAAGTCAGATTTGGGAGAGGAAGGGCAAGAAAGAACTTCCAATGTTTTAGCATGCACTAGAATATTAATAGACAATTATCACAATTAAATAACCTGGTTTCTGAGTAATGTGCTAGTTTTCAAAACCAAAGTATTCCTTGTTGTTTCTTACTTGAGAGATATAAACCAAATTACTAAAACAGGGAAATGCCAAAGCACATCTTTATTTATCATGCCATATCCATCCATTTCTCTTTTCTCTATTGAAAATGTAGTCTGGTTTGAGATTTTAAATTGTTAATTTTGTACTCTTTTTATTTGAATGTCCTTTATTTTCATGTGCAGTCAAAGAAGCAGGAGTATAAGCTTCCATGCTGTGCGTATAAATAACTCCTCTAGCAACTGGCAAGAATTAAAACATGACATTAGCTGCAATAGCTGCATTAGCTGGAATGGTTTACCCATGATACATTAGCTAATAAACTTGTATCTATTTAAGAAAGACCTAATTATGATACTTTTGTTACATAGACTAAACCCCATTGTTTGTTACAAGAATGCCTACATAAAAAATGAATAGAACATAATTTTTTATCATTTCATTCAAATGAGATGACTTAAAGGTAATTTCTACATTTTAGACATTTAGTTTCATGGCATTCCCGAGCAATTCCCTGA